TCCCAGCAGCTCCTTGGTCTTGGAATCCTTGCTTTTCTGTTTGCTTCTTCTGCTGTGTCAGGATCTCCAGGTTGCAAACAAGAAGCTCCGGGATGAGGTAGAGGCAGGATGGTTGACTTCAAGGATCATCCGTATGTCGGGTACATGAGTCTGGTAGGAGCTGGAGAACAAGATCACCCAGATAGAGAAGCATGAAGCAGAGCGACGGGAACAAGAAGAGCGCAAGCACAAAGAGGAGGCCCTCTCCGGAGTTGCTACCTTTCTACCCAGCCCATACTCGATCCATCGCGACCTATCAGGTTGAAAGCTTGAAGAAGCTCAATGCACAGCGAAAGGACTGTGAGCCGAAAGACAAGCTCCAAGCAATGTCTTGCTCGAAGTTTGACATGACGGGGCATTGCTGAGCAGGAGCAGCTAGAGGCTATGCTTCAAGCTCCCAAGAAGTGAGCCGTCAAATCTGAGCAGGCAAGGAATCCAGTCTGTTAGCGAGCTTAGGCCCTAGGCATTTGCGAGTGCCAGGCATTGTGGCAGCAACATGCTGAGCAGGCCTCGTGTACAATTTGTTTCACTCATGAATCGTCTGTGCCAGCCTTTAAGGAGTGCTAAATGCAGTTCATCCTACAGACTGCGCTTTCATAGCAGAAAACTGTACATCTTCTTGCCACAGCAATGTGTCACCCTCATACCTCTGCGACCAATGGAGCGCAACTGTGCATGCTCATTCTGAACTGCTGCGGCTTCACGCAGAGTGTTTGAAACATTTGCTGCATGCTGATACCATGTTCCTGTGGAAATATGCCGGGCCTCTTTACTGTTGCGCCTCGCAGTGAGCTTGGCACGAGAAGTGACAGCCTCGGGGACCAGAGAGATGACTAGGGCCTGCGATGACCTTTCAGAGCCGCGAATACAGTTGGCGAGGCTACTTGACTTCACAGGGTATTGTTTCAGTGGATGACGAGCTGCTGCAGGATGTTTTTCAGTCTTCCCTTCGTGGGGCCCCACTGCCGGCACCGTGGAGCATGTGGCACGACAAGCAGAGCAGTTCTTTGTTCTTCACGAACACTTCCACTGGAGAGACCTCTTGGACCCATCCTTTGAATTCATTACTTCTTGACTTAGCCTGCGTGGCTCAGAGATTCTTGGCTTTGCCTCTTGCAAGCAGGGCCGAGCACCTGGCGGCGTTGAACCGAACATGGGAAGCCGAGGCACGCGCGGAAATCCTGAGGTGGAGGTCTGCCTACGACAAGGGTGCCGAGTACTTCTACAATGTGGAGACAAAGGCAGCCATGTGGGAAAGGCCGGTCGACGCACTGCTCCCGGCCTTCTACCTCAAGAAGCAGTACCTCAAGCATCTCAGTGCGCATTGTAGCAACGCTCCGTCTAACAAGGAGAGGAGTGAAGTCGTGGACGGAGACCGGCATGGTCAGCAAGGATGCGGCGCCTACGGTTTACGACCAAGTCTCCCCCTGACCGAGCAGAGCCACATTTCGGAGAGCTGGGAGAGCTATCTAAGCAAGGAGATCCTGAAGCTCCCTGACGACGAGGAACTTCTCCAAGTCTTTCAGGCTGTCCTCAAAGGAGCTCCTCTGCCAGCACCATGGAGTATGTGGTGCGACAAAGGGACTAAAACTCTTTTCTTTACCCATGCTGCAACTCGAGAGACATCATGGACCCATCCCCTGCACGATACGTTCGTTTCTTTAGCAGAAGTTGGACATCGATTCTTCACTCTGCCGTTTGCCACTAGGGCCGAACATCTCGTAGCATTGAACAAAACATGGGACACCGAAGCACGGGCGGAGATCCTCAAATGGCAGGCCGCATACGACGAGCAGGACAGAGAGTATTTCTTCAACGTGGAAACGATGGCAGTGATGTGGGAGAGACCTGCAGAAGCAGTGCTTCCGGCATTCTACTTGAAGAAGCAATTTCTGAAGAGACTGAGTCTCTGCAAACCTGCTCCTATTGAACGCAGGGGAAGCACCAGCAGAGAGCGGGATCGAGACAGTCAGTCTACGATGGCTTCCACCTCGAATTCTTCAATCTCTTCGGTTTCTAGGATGAGAAAGAGCAGGAGAAGCTCTCGGAAGCTATCGAATCATGCACTGTTCGACGACAACTGGGAATACTACTTGACAACGCAAGGCATCGTGGACATCCCTGGGGAGGAGGTGTTACTGCTGACCTTTCAAAGTGTCTTGAAGATTGCACCATTGCCCGCCCCGTGGAGAATATGGAATGACAAGGCCAACAGCCGCTTCTTCTTTGTTCAGAAGTCGACGGGAATCACCTCATGGCAGCATCCCCTGAATTCTGTCTTATTAGAGCTGGCAGCAGTCGCACGGCACTACCTGGGCTTGCATGAGCAATCTAGGGCCGATCACCTGGCCTTGTTGGGAAGTACATGGGACGGGCAGGCAGAATCTGAGATCTCGAAATGGAAATCCGCATTAGATGAGGATGACATGGAGTACTTCTTCAATGTGGAAACCAGCGAGACCATGTGGGAGCGTCCTGAGGATGTTGTCCTGCCAGAGCTCTTCCTGAAGCGGCAGTTTCTTTCCAAGCTATCCGTAGCAGCTGAGCCAAGCTCGGAACAGGGGGCACCGCAGAAACTACAGCCACTCCAGCCACCCCAGCCACCGCAGCCACCGCAGCCACCGCAGCCAGCCGAGCAATCACAATCACCTCAGCCACCGCGGCCGCCAGAACCACCAGAAACACCGCAACCACCAGAACTAGCAGAGACCAAGCCGAACCTGGACCTTCCGTCGATCCAGTCTGTGCCGAAGGCTCCCGTGAAAGTGTTGAAAGTGCAGCCAGTTGGGCCAAAACCTGACCCTCCTCCAACACCGATGCCCAAGGCTCCAGTGGAGAAGGTCCAAGCAAAGCCACCACTCCCGCCCGGGGCAGGAGCAAGCCACTCACCTACAAGGGTCAAAATAAAATCGATCTCGCCCAAACCAGCGCGGATGGGCGAAGCGGTGAAGGTCACCGTCGTGCGCAAGACTGCTCGAGCTTTGTCGAGGGACGAGGTCGCGCCAAAGGCCGGTGAGATTCTCAGGGCGCCAGAATGCTACAAAGCCTGATCAGGTCTAGGCTCCAGCTTCGCTCTTCAGGAAGGATCTCGTCTACTTTAGAGCACTTCCCTCCAGAGTCCTCCTGAAGATGTTTCAAAAGCTGGTAAGGGGAGCTTTCAAACTAACCAGCCCCGACAGATAAGAACTCCACGCGGCCAAGGAGATCATCCCACCACAAGACATTGCAGGAGTTGAAACTAGGTGTTGTCGAATAAGCTGGTCCTTTGCCACCTCACTTCTCTCGTATCTTCTGCCTGCCAGGTCACGGTGATCTCTCGCGACACTGCCGTACAGAAAGGACCTACTGTAACGGTGAGGACCATGAAGGAAAAAGCTTCTGCTCAACATGGTGGCAATCAGCTGCAATTTGCCAAAGCCGCTGCGTCCGCAGCTTTAGCTGCCACGGCGGGGACAACTATTGAGAGGCTTCAAGCTGCAGCCCAGGCAGCATATGAAGCAACTTCGACTGCAGCGCCGGACGAACATGCCTCTACTGTGCAGCAGGCACTGTATGAAGTTGTGCAGCAGATGCAAGTGCCTGCAACCGGTGGCGAGGCTTGCAAAACCTTGGCGGAGAACGCCTATTTCTTCGCAAGGAGCGTGCGCGAAGCTCTTCAAGGTGGTGGCGCGAGTCTGCCCTCGAGCCCAGATGGATCTGCGGCAGCACTGGCAGCTGCAGCTGCACGTCGCTCCGGCCTGAGTGCCTCATGGCAAGTGGATGCTGCAATCGCAGCAGCATTGGGTGAAAGGTTCAGCGGGTCTGCATCGCCGTCGTTTGCAGCATCATCTCAGCTGTGTGATGTCGTGAAGCAGGTTGCATCCGAGTCTGCTGTTGAAACAGAGACGAGTGAGGCATGGTTGCAGAAGGCGGCTGAGAAGATGAGTCCGCTGCAGCAGAAAGACGTGTCGAATGTCCGACCATCAAAAGGCCAAGAGCTCGCAGCCACGAGTGACACTTGGATGATGAGCTCACCTGAGCTGGTGGACAGCTCTCCGTCAGGAACAGAGACAGCATCTGTTTTCGGGCGGACTGGACGTCTTTCACAGACAGGATCGTCCAAATTCGCAGAGTTTTGCAACTTCCGTGATGTTCGACGTGCAATGGCAGAAGCAGAGAACTGCTTGGCTGCTTTTGAGGAGGAGAGAAAGATTCAGCGCAAAGCGCTCAGGAGGCGTTCACGAAACAAGCTTCCAACTGACATCCTGGATGCAATGGGCGAAGCTCAGCGGATTCTCTCTGCCTTCGATGAGGAGCGGCGATTGCAGCTGCAGCAGCTTCGGGTGGAAAGAGCCAAATCCCGTGCCAATTTACCTTGAGAAGCAACCACCACATGCGCGGTTGCATCATGGTCGACGCAGACGGCCACGCACAGGAGTCATTGAGACGATTTGTGCTGCTCCTTGGGTCCTTCCCTAGTTTTAATTATGCTTTAAACGTTGCCTGACCGACGTGGTCCAGCTTGAAGTTCGATAGGTCTGTCATGCTGAAGACTAGTGTGACTTTTCCAGGGCTGTCAGAATGCCAGCACAGCTCAGAGACGTTTCACCTTAGAATAGGAATGGGAAGCGCGATAGCAAGCTGCTTGTTAATACAACGGCTTGAAGCGATGCAACATCGAGAACAGAAATCTGGCACTTTTTTGTAGCCTCCCGTCCTGACCTGGACGTAACTTGTGCATGAAAGTGCCGGTGATCATCCCACTCATCGTCATACCGGGAGCCGCTTGATCCTTCAGCTAGGCCCAACTCGCAACTGTCGTTGTGTTGCTATTGCCGTCGTTGAGTAAGTGCTTCAAGAAGAGCGCGGGGAGTAGCCACTGTAGCAAGGAGGATCTTCGACATTGATCCAAATTCGTGAAGCGCTTGCAGCCCTCCGTCATATGTTTGTCACAGCCTGTCTGCAGAAAACATCGTCCTATCATGCACGCTTCGGATGATGCCGCAGCCGGGTATCACTGTCGCAAGGCGCTGGGCGACAGCGCAGCAGATGAGCTGCTGGGGAGGTTGATGAGGAATCACATGGAGAATGAATACCGCATGTATCTTCCGACGTCCAAGTGCGAAAGCAGCGACAACGAGGAACCGGCGGATGGTTTAATTCAAGACATCGACCGGCGGGACGAGGGGAAGTCGCCAGACGGCCGCAGCGCCGAGGCGGGTCAAGCGGAGGCGGAAGCCGCGGAAGCCGCCGAAGCCCCAAGCCAGATCGCGACGGATGTCCCGGAACGTGACGTGGCAGACGCAGCCGAGAATGAGAAAGGCAAAGAAGCTGAAGAAGATTCCGAGGCCGCCAAGGAGGCACAGGCCGACAAGGAGGCCGAAGCTGCGAGAAAAGCGAAACTGGAGGCGATCGTGTCGGGCCGTTTGGAGGTGCGAGAGGAGGCAAGCAGGGAGAGATGGAAGATCGAGGAAGAGGAGGACTCAGGAGACGAAGCTCTGGGTGTCCTTTCCAGCTTGGGGCGATCCATGAGCACCTGGGCAAGTGTGGCCATGATTGGTTTCTCCTTCACCATGAGTAGTGACCCTACCGTGGCCGGTCGACAAATCGCTAACCTCTGCCGCAGAAAGGGCGGAATTTATGTTAAAGCAGCTCAGACAGCTTCTTCCATGGATTACGCATTCCCCAAAGAAGTTCTGGAGGAGTTCCAGTCTCTGCAGGACTCCGCGGACGCCCAGACCTGGGGCGAGATCTCCGAGCGAGTTGAGAAGCACACGCCCGGCGGAATCGGCACGGTCTACGAGTCTTTCGCCGAGGATCCTGTTAATGCTGCCTCCATCGCGCAAGTCCACGTGGCGCAGAGGAAAACTGGAGACAAAGTGGCAGTGAAGCACCTCGGAGGAAGAAGACATCGAACTGGGCAAGTCTGCAACCCACACCTCCGAATCTCTGAAGCTGTACGGCTCCAGCCGGAAACGTAAACCGAGGCCGAGTTCGAAGGAGTTTGCATGTTTGCATCAGCTTCAGACACGTTCCACACAACCGAATGTTTGAACTGCTCCGAATCTTTGAGAGTTTCACCGTCGCTCGAGAGTTTCGTGGCTGTCGAGTTCTGGGTGTACCTGTTTTCCAGCTGAGTTTCCGAGCTCGGTGCTTTGAGAAGTTTCAGGTCTTGAGTTTGTTATGAGTTCGACAGCAGTCTGGTCGGCCGGAGCGCGGTCACGGACCCGCATTTTGAGCATGAAACTCTCAAAGTCTAATTGAATCGGTCTCCCACGAACATCGTTTTCCTCGACCTCCAAGAACCCCGATCGCCTCTTCTCGCCCTGTGTTCAAGCTATCACTGCAACCTTTCTTGCAACCTCGGATCCCTGAAAGCGTCAAGCTCTGCCTGCTCTGAATCTGTTGAACAGTTGAAAAACTCGAGCCAAGCATGCTCTTGCAACACCTCTTACCTCTTTTAGACCTTTTGGCTGTGGTAGGTGTTATGGTGAAGCTATGAATCCAAGGATACTTCGCCGCAGCACCGCCCAAACCTTCGACCATGATGTGGGCGACTATCTCTCACTGCTCGGGATGTACGAGTCGACGACAGGACCAGCCGTCGTAAGCCTCCGAAGCCTACCTCAGACTCGAAGAGTTCTTCTCAGGAATTCCTGTGAAATGGATGATGGAGTGGGCGATGGAAGAGCTCAAGAAGGAGACGATGGGGCAGAACCACCACCGCAGTGGGGCCGGATCTGCTGAGGGCCATGGCCATGGTTGTATTTGTTTGACAGTTTCCCGGATGCTTTTGCTTGCAGTCTGTCCTGGCGTGGATGAGCAGGAGCTAGATTTTCGCATCGAGGCCGATTTGCACGAAAAGTGTCAGAAGATTCCTGGTTGCACGTAGTCGGATCCTGCCCCTGCGTTATATACTCGTATACGTGTATATATATATATATATATATATATATATATATATATATACATATACATATACATATATATATATATATATATATATATATATATATATACACGGACACATCAACATGCATATAGGTATAAGAACAGTGAAACAGTATGTGCATGGATGTTTGTGTGTATGTTTGTGTTTTTGTATGCATGTATGTACGTCTCTACGTATGTGCGTGTGGGTATGTTGGTGTGTTTGTGTGTGTGTATGTAAGCATGTTTTAATTGGGTGCATATGCCATAATGCATGCCCCAGAGTGAGAGCGGTTTTCATCGCACTGTGGCTCAAGACCCGGACTTAGAGAGGGTCAACGAATCGTTCGCCTCCAGTTTGTGGAATGTCTTCTTCCTTAGCGTGCCGAAGATCGGATGGGCCTAAGCCTAAGACGGACCGCAGTAAAAAACTTAGACTTAGACTGTCCCCCAACCTCTACGCTAGGAGAGAAGGAAAGAACGTCCGCAGTGCTGGCAGGGTTCTAGGACATGGGTATTCTTGAGAATTTTTCGTAGAGGCCCTGGCACAATGCACTTTCCCAGTACATGCAAACGCGCACACGCGCACAATCATGCTGAGGTTCATAGGTTCTCAAGATGAGCTTCGTGGACGTCTGAGCGTCCCAGTCCTCCACTCCGAACTGTGCAGCTCAGCTTGGTCCAGTGTGCTGTGCGTGTCACGTGAGCCCTTAACCCCAAGCCATGTAGCAGTAGTAGTAGTGGTAGTGGTAGTGGGTAGTGGTAGTGGGTAGTGGTAGTGGGTAGTCGTAGTCGTAGTGGTGGTGGTAGTAGTAGTAGTAGTGCCAGTAGTAGCAATAGTAATTGCAGTAGCAGTAGTAGTAGTAGTAGTAGTAGTAGTAGTAGTAGTAGTAGTAGTAGTAGTAGGAGTAGTAGCAGCAGCAGCAGCAGTAGTAGTAGTAGTAGTAGTAGGCGGTAGTAGTAGTAGCCTTTGTAGCCTTTGTGCGCAGCGGTCCAGTCGACCGCCTAGCGGCGGCGTAAGAGAGCAGACGATTTCCGCCCGGCGCCATTCAGCACGCAGCATTGCTGCCTCGGAAACGCCCTAATGTCCAATGTCACCGCCTCGCAAGGCCTTTTAGCATGACAAAGGGATCACGTCAGAATGCGAACTGCAATTAGTGTTGCACGTAGCATACATCAGCAGATAGCAATCACTAGCTTGCGTTGGTGACAGAGCTCGCTCATGTCTCCCACTGCGATTGTCATCGCAGCTCCACATGTGAGACCCTGCGAACAGTTGTGCCGTGTCATGGCCCGTCTGTGGATGCATGCCATGATGAGTGATGTTGCCACCAGCTGATATCGCATGACTCGAACTTGCATCTGGTCTCCTGCAAAAATGGGGATCGCGAGGTCGCGATCCACATCGATCGGGTCCCTGCGCTTGGTGATGCGATCATTCGACTTGTGGAAGCGCTCCACTTGAAAGGTTAGCACTGGGTGTGGAGCCGAAAAAGCGTGGACCGCCTTTTGCGCCCCCGACCAATAGTCCAAGAGCGACTGTACCTGGATGCGCACATCGAGACCCGGGCGTGTTCGCAGCAGTACGAGTGTCACTGGCTGAGTACATAGCGCCGTGTCGCGTACTTGGAGTTGCCCCTGATAAATCCGGCGAGCTTCCCACTGCCCCTGGAACAGATCGATGGCATGTGTCTGACAAAGGAAAGAGAAAAACTCAGCGACATCGTGTTGCCGGTGATGGTCTCGCCACCCCTCAATTAAAGCACGCCAGTGCTTGTCCTTCAGGAGGTTCTTGGGGTTGTGACAGTGATGAGTCTGCAGTGCCTGAAAGAAGGTGCGTCCTGCCCCCATGGTTGCCAAATAAGCTGGCCGGAGTACAAGTAGCCAGTAGAAGACCTGAACGACCGAGTTCATGTAGCAAGCATTGCCGCTGTTGGTGAGAACCAGCCTGGGAGCGGAGATCAATGAATCTTGAGCATCTCCTTGATCTTGACAATGCCCGGGCTGGGCTTGAAGGTCTCCTTCCTGTATGCAATGCCGCCCAACTGAAGAACAGTACATCCCTGAAGAGCCAACAGCGAGCCCCAGGCTTCCAGACTCTGAGGCGTTCGGATGGCAGGTCCATCGAGAATGTCGTAGATGGTTTCGGTGAGGCGCCTTTTGCAGCCGAAGCGATGCACCAAGTCCGGAAGCAACAGAAGCTGAGTGAGCTTCTGCAAGTGCGAGGCCACCTCCTGATCCGTGATGGGCTTGCGGGACTTGTCCTCGACCAGGTGTTTGACCGCCGGGTCCCAGTACTGGAACTTCCAGCCGACCGCTGGATCTCGTGCAAGTGCAAAGTCCTCTTCCTTGCAGGCCGGGTCCAGCCTGATGCCTAGCTCGTTGAAGACCGCCGCCGCCATGATCGCCTTCAGAGGTTGCTGTCCAGGCGTCCATCCCGGGTTCTCGCTTTGTTTCTTCTGAAATTGCTGGGCTGTGCGGTACAAATGGCACAACATGTTGTGCTCGCCCGGCTTCATAAAGAAGATCAGCGCATGATCTTGTCGGAGCACTTTGATCTCTTCCTCCTGCCTGATCACCTGTCTTGCTAAAGAAATCAGTAAGGAGAACTCCCGGGGCGCCTGCTCGTTGAAGTGATCGCGATGTGGAGCTCGAGGGTACTGCCGGCTCTGTGGTCTTCTCCGCTTTTGTGCTGCACCCTCCTGCTTCAGCTCGCCGAAAAACTCCGCCAGCTCCGAGTTGTCTGTCCTGATGTGTGAGGCATAAGACCGCGCGCTGGATGAGGCATAAGACCGCGCGCTGGAAGATGACCGTGCATTTCATGATGTTTTCTCGCCAGTCCTTGCAGCGAACATGGCAGAAATGACAGGTAGGGCAAGCAGTGTTCGTTGTATCAGCGCTTTGACACGTCCTCCTAAGTCACGAAGGATGTCCGCGTGACTGTGCTGAAAGTGTCGTTTCATGGTCTTGTGCGATGCCACCCACTGTCCACATAATGCACAGGTCTGAAGAAGGCGTCCAGTGATGTCAGGTAATCGAATGAAGGCATTTAGACCCTTCTTTACTGCAGCGTCTATCTCTGGAAGCTGACAAATGGACTGTGTAGGAGCTGTGACCACGTGCTGTGTCCGGCGCCGTGTTCGGCGTTAGGCTAGATGGCAGGTGATCACATGCAGAGGTCTGCTGTGTCTGCTCGTAGAGATAGTTCGGGCATCGATTGTCAGTGATGTGCTGGGGGAGAGTTTGCCATCTGCTGAACTTCTTGTTGCAAAACCGACATGTCGGTGGCCCTCCGGCCGAGTGCATGCATTTATTGAAGACGATGTGTATCTTGTCGGTATGCTTGTGGGTGCGTTAAGCATGAGTTTTCAACGCTGCTTGCGTAGGCAACATGTCTTCGCAGAAAGGACAGGCCTATTGAAAAGTCTCCATCTTGTCTTCCCGCTCAGTCTCAGGGGAGCATTGTTGCAGCCTGTTGTGCAGGTGTACATGCCACTGATCATCAAACATCCAATCCGCTGAAGCTGAAGCCTGCTGGCTGTTGATGGCCCGGCTGAGCTCCCTGTGCAGATCGTCGAGGGCCTTGGGAATGTGGTACTTGGAGATGATGGTCTCATGAGAATCTCCGGTGAGATGGGCCTGGTTGTTGACGATGGCCCGAACGTGTTTCATAATGGCTCGCTGTAGTTGACAGGCCTGATCACCAGAAAGCCCACAAGTGGAGAGACCGTACATCATAGTGGAGTACACGCAGCTCTTCCAGACGCTCAGCTTGTAGGATATACTAACTTTGGAGGAATGAAGAATTGAGGCCAGTGCCCAGCGTCGTCCATGTGCTTTTTGTATGCGGTGTCGAAGCCCCTGACGTTCGAACTGAGTGTAAGAGATGATGAGACCAAGATACTCGGCCTGTGGCACCAAAGAGAGCCACTGCGAAGGGTCTCCAGGCATCAGAAGTAGGCGACGTCCTGTGGGATGTTTCCGGACATAGTGCGTGTAGATCCTATGTTTCATATGTCCGACGACCTTGAGGATGGCTTCGGTCTTTTCGAGGTTGATGCGCAGATGAAATTTCCTGAAGCAGGCGAACAGTATGCGGAGTTCATTCATGAGTTGGTCGAAGTTGAGGCCTGAGGAGAACCGCCGCCGGAGGTGCGTGTCATCCGCGTACAACGTAAGGTGTGATCGCACCCATCCTTCATGTATTTGGGCATCTATGGACGCACAAAGAAGTGCTGTTACTGCTGCCCACAGTATGGGCGAGGCAGTACATCCTTGTCGCAACCCCCACTTTGGGTGAACGTAGCCTTTCATTGCTTATGCCGAAACAAGTACCGCACTTGCGAGAGCCATACAAGAAGAACGTCCTGAACAGCAACGCTGACTCCCGCAAAGTGGAGCGCCTTCTGGACATCAGCTCATTGGTTATTATCGAATGCTGCAGACAGATCTAGGCTGAGCTGTAAGCCGCCACTTTCTCCAATGTGTCCTTGTCCCGCATGTTTCTGGTGGATATTGACCGGAACCTTGCAACAATCTTCCCGAACACGATGACAGTGTTCGTAGACTTGACGACCTTGAATGTAGGCACTTGGGGGGTACCGGCGAATCAAGTTCATGATGTCGGTCATGGCTTGTTCAATCAGCGAAGACATGACACAGTTGCCCAGAGGTGATTGTACTCCAATGGGTCTCCAATCAAGCGGGGAGCTAGATCTACCGTGGGCCTTTGGAAGCAAAGACACATCGGCGTCAGACCAGCCTTGATGGACCTTCGGGCACGACCCGTGCCAATCTTCAGCTAGTTGTGCTGCCACCACAGGAGCAAGTGCTTGGTTGCAGGCCTTCCACACGACGGCCGGAGCATCACCCCTAGGCACCGCTTTCCGTGGTTTGAGCTTGCCAAGATGGTATGCAATGATTGAGGCGTCCACAATGACCCCGTCGGCGTCTTCAAGATGGAAGGTGGTGATGACGTGAGGTTCCTGCTCGCCGTACCGCTCTCCGTAGGCCTTTAAGATCCAGGAAATTTCGTCTTCAATCGGTATCATGTGACCTTCCCGGTATAGCAGTAGCAGTAGCAGTAGCAGTAGCAGTGGCAGTGGTAGTGGTAGTGGTAGTGGTAGTCGTAGTCGTAGTCGTAGTCGTAATCGTAGTCGTAAGCACTCCGGCTCAGCTGTGTCCCAGCAGCGGGACTCATAGTTGTGGAGGTGGTAGCATCTATGTCATTCAGCAAACCTTAGCGGTGGAGTCCGGCTCCGAAACGTGATGATGACATTTCTGGTGCAGCGTGCCGGGGTGCCTCTTGGTCCCAACAAAGGGCGCATAGGTCGACTGAATGCCTTTGCCCCTTGCCTGCGAACGCATCAGTCTCTGTGCCCGCCAGCCATACCACTGCGGACTCCTGTACCTCTGCCTTCGTGCCACTGTCTGTGGGCACGGAGAGCTAGCTTCGTTGCAAGTGCGCGTCTCCCAGCAGGCAGGAGTTGGCGCAACTTTTTCCTGCAGCTGGCGCAAGCAAGACGTGGATGCCACCAGCATTCCTCCTGGGCGCGCGCCGTCAGGCCCCATTGAGTGCACGCTCGCCGGCTGGGTGCCTCTTGGCCCCAACAAAGGGCGCATGGGTCGATTGAATGCCTTTGCCCCTTGCCTGCCAACGCGTCAGTCTCTGTGCCCGCCAGCCATACCACCGCGGACTCCTGTGACCGGTGAAAGGCTACCTCTGCCTTCGTGCCACTGTCTGTGGGCACGGGGAGCTAGCTTCGTTGCAAGTGCGTGTCTACCAGCAGGCAGGAGTTGGCGCAACTTTTCCTGCAGCTGGCGCAAGCAAGACGTGGATGCCACTCAGGCCGCCCCATTGAGAGCACAGTGCCGCACCTTCTTGTTGATAGCCGGCCCGGTCCCAAGTCCGGGGTGGGATGCCGACTGACGACTCTACTTATATTGCTACATTGTCAGGTGTCCCACAGTGTGAGGGTTCCAGCTCTCTCCGTTGGAGCTGGGGAAGGCAACTTCCTTGCCTATCCGCGACGACTTCAAGTGCCGAAGCTAAACGGAGTACAGGTCACAGATGGGAAGCAGGAACCTACTCATCAGTGGAATCGATCTGTCAAGAGATTTTTTTGTGCGAGCTTGCAATAGAGCTATTCGACATGGCCAAGCGCAACCCTTGTACCTGTGTACCTTTCGTTTCCTTCAGATACCCGAAGAGTGTGTAGCTGCAGATCATCGCCGCCTTGTCCCGAATGCTGACCGAAAGCCGGCGGCGGCAACCTACCCCATCCTGGGATGGGATGGCCCGCATTGGGTCCCGGCCCCACGTATGCTTCGAGATGTGGTCTGGACTCTGACGCTACGTCCCTCCAGGTCACAGTTAGTAAGTGCGTTTCGTGTTTTTGTTCACGTATGTTTTAGAAGGCGTGTGAATCTGTAGCACATCGCAGCACTGGCTCTAGCACTTGAGTCTTCTCGAAAAGCGAGATTTAGCCGTAGCTACTGCCCTGTAGCCTACCTGTCTCTGCCTTAGAGCGCAGCCATGTTGCCGGCGCATGTAGTTGTGCCCCTCACCATGTTGCAGTGGGAGCTTGATCAAGCCCCGCCTTCGCCCAGGCCTCCGCCTTTGCCTCCGCGGTGGATTCGTCCCCCGGATTTTGCCTTTGCCCCAGCCAGACTCGCCTTGCATGACTGGAATTGGTATGTGATTACATTCACCGAATGCTTTGCCTTGCAGCCGCATGAGGGCCAGCCTTTGGAGCCCTGCCTCCAGGAATTCCTTTTTTCCTGGACAGTTTGCTTTCGTATTCTCATTTGCCTGGAAGTGCGTGAATGGCTCCCCTTAGTTCTAGCCGCCGACGAGTGCCATCAGCTCATGGTTGAGATGCTCTTTTGAGCTCTCTTGCCACTCAGGTAGCCGCCGGGACCTCAGCCATGGCCTTGCCTCAGACTGACCCATATTTTCTGCCTTTGCGAATTTTGCCGTATCAGTGGCATTGGCCAGGCCTCCTAGATGCCTTGCCACTTCCAGGTTTCATGGGACAGCCTCACAGCTCTTGCCTGCAGGACCTTTTGCTCTCAGGCACCGTCGGGCCGCGCATCTTGTTATTTGTAGGTGGGTCTTCTTGGGTGCCTTTAGCCCTGCTTTCTCAGGAGACGCATGAGTACATTGTGTCGCACTTGGATATTTCTGACTGACTGCCCGGCCCAGGTCTGCTGTCGGCGCCCTAGATGCCTCCCTCGGGCTCAGCCTGGCTCGGGCCCCGGCCTGCAGAGCCGGACTCTGAGCTCCCGGGCTTCCGCTCAGCCAGCCTTTGCCCAGCCGCCAGCTCCGCCTCAGCCACAGCCTGCTCAGTTGCCTTTGGGGGGAGGATACCAAAGCTACCATTTTCTCCCCCCCGCATATTTCGAGCGTTTTGCCCTTTCCCTTCAGGCTCAGGCAGTGTATGGCTAGCCCCTCATAGCCCGCCACCTCCCACCAGGTCAGCGAGTTCACAGGACTCAAGCCTTGATTCAGCTGTGCCAGGCTTGCGTTATCGCCATCCGTTGCCTGTACCGCCTCTTTGGCTCCTTCAGCCGCCTCTCTACAAGGTGCTTTGGTTCCCTATTCCCTACCAAGGACCTCTGTGAGCCTTTTCTTGGCTGGAGCCTTGAGGGCCTTCTCTTCGGAGTCGCGCCCTGTGCCAATATACTTCTGTTCGCAAGCTCTAGCCGAGAAGTTGCTGCCTTGTGCCTTCTAAATAAGGCATGCCACGACTACGTAGCAGAACGCATATCCAAGGCCCGTGGGTGACACGGCTCTTACGCCTTACATCCCGGGCCCTCAGCCG